TTTTAGTGAAAAAGATACAATAAAAAATAACGTATATAATAGTATTAAAACATAAAAATAATAAATCTTTTTTCTCAAAAAAAAAAAAAATTTTTTTATTAACCGAAAGTATGAATTAAACACTGAGTTAAATTATTTTATATAATCCCGTTTGTTCACTTTTTACATTATTATTCCTATGATCAAAAACAAACATTTTAAATAAAATAATTATTAAATATTGTTCATTTAATATGTAGTTTTTTAAAATTAAAAATTATAATTATATTCTTAAATTAAACGAGAAAAAGTATTTGACCTTTTTTTCAAAGTAATATTATAATAAAACTCATGTTTTATATAATAAATGAATAAAACAATTAAAAAATGTACAAAATAATTCATTAATTTCTCCCCCTTCCGTTTCCTACTTATAAAAAAAAAAAAAAGAGAGAAATATCAAGATAATATTTTATATTATCGAAAAAATACATAATTAAAAATAAAATTTTTTTCATATGAAAAGAAAAGAAGAAGAAGAAAAAAAAAAGCAAATTTTTTATTTTTATTATAAATTTAATCTGACACCGTGAGTTACAAATAAGAATTTAGATCGAAAAAGTTTTAAAAAACGATATTTAAGACACATTCAATATTTATTTGTCAATCAATCAACATAATAAACTTCCGAATTCACATTTGAAAATGTTTAATTTATTATTATTATTATTATTATTATAATTAAAATAATTAACATTAACTTTTATTTGTTTTTCTCTTTTGTAAAATTGTCACGATTAGAAATATAAACCCCAAAAAATAAATATTGGATAAAATTTTAATGCATATACATAATAATGGTTCTTATTGTTATTTTTATGTCAGTCAATTGTTGGGATCACAAAACCAAACCGTTCAATTCCTTCGTTAATTCTTCTTCCTTTTTTATTTTTTCAACTTGATTTAATTCCAATTGTCTGCCAGCAGCTTGTTGGTTTTTTAATTTGGCGATTTCATTTAATTTCTGTATCGAAAAATAAAAAAGAAATAAAATTACATTAATATTCCTGTTTCGTCGGTGACATTTTGTAATATTTTCCAGGGAATGTGGGCCGTTCCACATAATGCGATTTCTCGGTTTTTCTTTTAAATACTTCAAAATCTTCTTCAAATTTTATTTTAATAAATGAGGCATGGCTCTCAGTTCTTCTTCTTCTTCCACATAGTTAACATTGACGTATGCACGGGGTTTAGATAATAAATCGAGGGTTTTAAATTAAAAATTAAAAAACTTTTAAAAAAAAAATGAAAAAATACAGGAGATAGATGTACTTACACTCCTAATTTTTTTTATTTTCTTCAATTTCTCTGGATCTTCGGTAACATCGGATTCTACAAGTCCATTGGTTGATGTGACTCCAAGATAATGATTTGACGTGTGGTTTTGATTTTGTGTTGAACTAACACCACCATCGGAAACTTGCTCCTTTTTCGCCTTTTTAGCTTCCCTTTTTTTTTTTAATTTTAATGCGTTTTTAGACACTGCTAAAAAAAATACATAAAACCGTTTATAACGATACGAATGGACACACGTGCACGCACACTCACACGCACACATCCACACACACATAAATTAATGTACTAATTAATATTTGAATACAATTTTTTTTTTTTTAATTGCAAAACAACGTTGTAGCGAACGGTATTTTAAAAAAAAATTAATACTTTTATAAAAACTCACGAAAAAATATTTTTCATTAACAGATCAATTAATTTTTAAATAGGCTTTTCAAATAATCGGCATTCTTTCAACAATTTGGGGACGGCAGATATTATTCGGTTTTTCTATAAACGGAATACTTATCTGGAAAATATATATTCTTATTTTATATAATCCTTAAATATCCCTAATTACATTATATGTTACAAAAAAAATTTATCATTATATGAAAATTTTCTTATTATTAAATTTAATACATTTCCTTCCGTTTCTTATTAAACCTCTTTTTAAATATTCTATTATGAAAAAATTATGTAGACAGAAAAGAAAAAAAAAAAAAGTCAACGGTCAAACACTTTTTTTTTTTTCGCTATCAACAAACAACCACTAATATTTTACACCTGAAAATTTTGATTTTTTATTATTTAAAAATAATTATTCGTAAAAATTTAAAAAATAAAAAAAAAAATTGATACAAATTGGTCAACGGTATAAAATTATTGTAAACAATTTTAAAATATTTGCACATCAATTTTCGATACATTCACTCCGGGAATAAAATAGCGACTAATTATAAAAATTTATTAAGTAAAATAATAATAATAATAAATAATGCGTAAAAACTATAAAAAAAAAAAAAAATTCTAAAATCTGTTAATAAAAATCAATATTCGTGAAAATTTTTCCAAGTATTCAATTAATATGCTGTTAAAAAAAAAAAAAAGAAAAAAAAAGGTTTTTACTTACAATCTTGTCTACCGATACCATGATCATCACCTTCGTGAACTCTAAAATTATCTTTCCCTCTAGCAGATGGTGGTCTGTACGCTTGTTTCGAAGCTGTAATATGAAAATAAGTCAAAAGTTATTAAAATTTTTCACAAAATTCCAAATATCAAAAATATATAAGAAAACTTTCAAATTCGATTTTTTTTTTTTTTATCACTTAACATTATAAACTATCCTACGCTTTATTCGTTTTATTTTTTTTGTTAAAATTCACATTTTACTTAATTAAAACTTTAATGTAATAAGTTAAATTAAACTTATATAAAAGAAAACAAAAAAATAAAAAAATAAAAGTGGAGGATCATCAGCATAATTATTTAAATTTAATATTTGAATTAAATATTACCTTTGATTTCATAATCATTATTTTATATCATTAAACTATTAGAGGGACTCAATCGTAAATCTTATATATATATATATATATTTTTTTTTAATTTAAAAAAGTAAGAAATTTTTTTTCAAAATCATTTTCGAATTTAAAAAATAAAATAAATAAAAAAAAAAACAAATAAAATGCCTTGAACGACTTACCTTGAGGATGGCTTGGTTGAATCCCTTCCACGGTTTTGAAACTAATAACCGGCTCTTTAAAAGTGTTTGGGGGAAAGGTTTGCCAAGACACTTCCCACAATTCTTCCTGCTTATTCCAGGGCCTTTCATACAGTAAAGACCCGCTGTAGTGCCAAATTTTAAATCTAAAAGTAAATTTAAGTTTTAAAAACATTCCCATATTAACATATTAAGAGGAAAAAAAAATTAAACTCACCCATTTCCTTCCCTCAATCTAGGAGCCGTAGTCGCAGTCATAAAATGTTCCCCATCTGGAGACCACCTTAATAAAGTTGTGTCTGGAGCGTCGACTTTGGATATGATTTTCCGATTAGTAGCATCCCATAATTCAATTGTGCCCCGTAAATTTCCAAATCCTCCAAATATCAAAAGTTCTCAAGAGTTAAGAAAATACCTATAAGTATTCTAATAAACTTTCTATTGTACTTTTTTTGTTTTAAAAAAAAAAAAATTAAAAAATAAAAGGATATTGTTGCCGAATGGGTTGTACTCTACAGAGTTTTTAATTCCCTCTCCAAAGTGAAAAATTGGTTCGCATTTTAAATTAAATAATGTAGCTTTCGCTGGCATGAAACCATAAACAACACAAAATTCTAAACTTTTAGGACTCCACTGAACGGAATACACCGGTCCCTCTTTACCTACGATGTAAAAAATTTTTTTTTTTTAAATTTAGTATAAATCTAAGAAGTCAATTTAAAATATATTTTGTCATCTCACCTAACATAACCATGGCTGTCTCGCCTTTGGTTGATATAAAATGAAGAGTTTGTTTTCCGTAGTAACTAGCTCCTGTTTTGTCTACATCGGTGCTAGTCATGAGTAAAACTTCCATACCTCTGTTATTCCAAAACATATCGACTTTGTCAGCCTATTAATAATTTAAAAAAACTTTTTAATCCTTATCAGCAGAAACTCTTCTTTATTCATTTAAAAACAACGTAAATAAATGGGTAATAAGTTTTAAATATATGCAATATGTATAAAAATAATGTATATATATATATAAACATGATGAGAACGTAAAGATCAAGTAAAGCAAAACGTAACATTTTTCGTTTTAATTAAAAAATTCTTATTTTATAAATCTCTGTAATAAATTTAATTGTTACAATAACTTTACTTCTTCTATTTATTTTGATTTTTTTAAGCAAAAAAAAAAAAAAAAAAAAAAATGTGAAAAGGGTTAAAAACGATTAAGTAATACATACTTGAAAGAAACTTTTATTGGCTAAGGAACTGGTACCATCGAATTTTGGATACTGAAAAAGTCTACCAAAACTCGGTTGACCTGGATTTCCTGGAAGATGACATAATACATAACTGGGAGAAGAACCAGGTGATAAGCTAAAACTGGCAACTTTTGCAATATTAAGCTTATGTACAGAACCCTCAAAATTACAATTTTCATAAAATAAAACATCGTTATTTAAAAGTCTAGCACATATTTTTTCATCTCTAGTCCATTGAGGCTCCCTGAAAATAAAAAAAAAAAAAAATTACATTGTTAAAATTAAATTAAATTAAGAAGAGATTGGCTTTTATTTTTTTTTTTTCAATTACAACAACAAAAAGAAAAAAAGAAACTCAAATGAAAAATTTATAAACTCTTAAAAAATGAAAGAATATTTGATAAATCAATAATCTTATATCAATACTTTTCATATTTTGATTAAGAAAGTATCGCTCTTATTACATACAAAATTATTAATGCTTTTAAAAAAAAATATTATAAAATACAAAATTTGCATGACAAAAAAATTTTTTTTTAAATTTAATAATTAGTAAAACTGAGCCATCGTTAAATAATAACATTTACAGTGAACAATAACCTTGAACAATAGTTTATTCTTGTAAGTTTGATCAATTATAGTTATTTGTTAATTTTAAATTTATTTCATAATGGTAAAAAAAAAAAAAAAAAAAAAAAAAAAATAAAAGTCAATTGTTTGTCGATTAAAGTTTAAAGTATTAATTTTATAAAAAAATCAGTTATATGCTTGAATAATTTTAAAGATATAAAAAAGATATCATTCAACTATTATAATCACAACACATATCGTCTAAACAAGTAACAAAATGTACTATGTAAAAATATGCATAGAAATAAATTTCTTTTCTATGTTTAGTATTAAATATTTTGCACAGTAAGGAATCTACATGTATCCTTGCACGAGGCAAAAAATGCATGTTTTACAAGTACCTAATTTAGAATCAAATAATTAGTTATACCTTAATAATCTTAAACTTTTTTAAAATTGTTAATTAAAATAATTACCATCCAATTTGTTTTTTGTGCACAAAAGCTCTGACAAGTTCTCCAGTTTCAGATTTCCAAATATGTAAATTTGGATTTCCAGGTTGATTTGGTTGACCTCCTGTGAAAGGCTCCCATGTAACGAAAAAAGTGCCTTTGGGTGAAAAATCAATATTAGATACTTTAGGTCTCTGTATCTCAGCTTGAATTTTCCATGTAGAAGTTGATACAATTTTCACTCTACATTAAGAATGAAAAAAAGTTACACATAAATTAAATTTTTTATCATATTAATTATAAATGCAATAAGGCATAAAAAATTCAATAATGTAAAAAATATTTTGAACTTATATATGACTCATTATAAAATATCAACTTACTTTGAACCATTTATCCATGCAAAGTATTTGCCATCAGGACTAAAAACCATAGTTTTACAGTATTTACTATCATCTTTGGTGAAACCTGTGACAAGATCATATCCAGGAGGCCCATAATTTAAACAGATTCCTGTAGATCCTCTTACTAAAACAAAATTATTATTCAATTTCAACATTTTTATAAAATATCAAGCTATGTGATAAAGCCTTAGTTTTAAAAAGAATCTTGTGATATAGCTTTTCTACCTTATTTTTAAGAAACAATCATTTTATAATCTAATCTATTCACAGTTCAACTTGATTTTTTAAGACAAACCTGTTCTAGAAAAAAGGTTAAAAATAATCTTAAAAATACAAATAGATTGTATTAATTAATTATAATAAGTTTTCAAGCATTTTAAATAACCTACTAAATTTATGTTTCAGTATTAATTAGTAGAGCAAAATTTAGAGAACTTATAATAAAAAAATTTTTTTATTTAAATACTGTAAATAATTTTAATGAAAAGTAAAGACGATTAAATTTGCAAACAAAATTAAGTATTATTAATGTCTCAATAAAATTAAGAAAAGAAATAAAATTTTTTTTATTTGAATATCGTTTCTCCTAATTTGTGAATAAACTTCAAAACAAAGAGATAAAGATTCATTTCTTTTGTAAATACAAAATAATACAATTCCTTAAAAATAAGGAGAATGTTAATTTTTTTATTTCATACAAAAATTTAATGTTTTGAATTAATAGACAAAATTGAAAAAAAAAAAAAAACGACATTTTTTACCCAACACACTTATGTTAGACAATGAAGTTTTATGTTATAACAAACAGGACGTCGAAACTCAAAGTAATTTTTAAAATATCGCATTAAATATTTATGCATTATAAAAATAAATAATCAATATGTGTGATTGGTATATGAAAAAAAAATAAAAATTTCTTACCCGCGACGACAGGCACGGTGGCAGACATCTTATAATTTCATAACCTCCGTGGGCGTAGAATAGTTTCCGTCGACGTGGAGGAAAATTACTGTAACTCAAAAAATTGTAATTTAATACCTTTTTTAAAAAAAATTGTTTTAAAAATCTATCTTAATGCTTTTTGATGCTTCTTTAAAGAAAAGAACAAAAACAAAAAAATTCAGTTAAATTTCTCAAATACATATATTTACTCATTTATTATTCTGCACACTTATAATATAGTTAGTTATTCATGTTACTTCCACGACGGTTTTCAACAGATTCATTAAAATTTTACCTTAATAATTGGTACATTGTAATTCAATGTGCTCCATGGTACCTAAAACGTTAACATTAGAAAGTCAAATTTTAAATTTATTTCTGTATTTTTGAACTTATGGTTTGTCATTGGTAAACTATTTTATTAAATCTGAAAATTAATTAGTTATTTAATTCCAAAAGATGTCTAAAATTAAAAAGCAAAAACGAAAACAAAAATTTCAATATAATCTTAATCGTAAAAGGCTATGTAGAAAGTACTTATGTTTTATTATCGTTGTTATTTACATATCTTCTTAAAAAAAACATTTAATTTAATAATATTAATTTAAATTTTTTTAGTAGTAAATTGAACAAAGGAAATATTTCGTGTAACAAAGAAAAGCACTTTAAGAAAATGGGACTTGTTTTTGATGTAAACAACGATATAAAAGGATTAAACAAGCAAGTCAAATCAATTGATAAATTAGAAAAAATAAAGGATGAAAAATTAGAAAATAAAAGTCAAGAAAATAAATTAATTAGAGTAAGCAAAAGAAAATCACACTACATTAGTAAAAACCAATTAGATTTCTTAAAATATTTAAAAGATAAATATGGTGATGATTATGAAGCAATGGTGAAAGATAAAAAAAATTATTTACAGCTCACAAAGAAACAATTAATAACTAAAATCAAATTTCTTAATTAGTTTTGTTAAAAATTTACTACCTGTTTTTTTTTTAAAGGATAACAAAAAATTATTATACAATTCAATTCATAAAAAAGTATTTCAATAAAAAATAATTAAATTTATCATGTGAAAGACTTCTGAAAAGATAGTTTTTTAAAGATAACTTGTTAATACAATGAAAAAATAAAAATTACATATTATATATGTGAATTTAAAAATAATAATAAAATTTTATCTTTTCATAAAAATTGTTTTTTTTTTAATGCATTACTAATTTCATAGTATTAAATATAAATTTATTACATCTAAATTATGTATTGATTGATTATCATATTTATAATTATGATTTTTATTTTCAATATGAAGATAAAATTATTAATTTAGTATTTTATTAAAAAAAAGTTATGACTTTGTATTCATATGATTCAGAGTATTTTTTAATTTTATATAGAATACTTATATAAATACATATATATATATATATATATATATTATATATATATATATATATTACTGTTTTCTAATATAAACTAGATATTGCATGAATTTTTCAAAAATTTTATTTAAAGTTAATTATGAGTAACTATTTAAATTTTAGCATAAAACATTCGAATTGTTTTATTCATTTAATTTCACTGACAAACATGATAAATTATTGTTTATAAAAAAAAAAAACATATAATATGGATTCTTGGCTCTATAAAAATAACAATTTACATGTAATATAATTAAAATTACAAAAAAAATTAACAAAATCCATTAAAAACACATATTTTATCCTTACAATAATTAGACAATATTAAGTTAATACATAAAACGTTCATTGGAAAAATTAATATCTTAAAAAATTTATTTTACATCTGATGTTTTAGCTTATACATGAAATTTTAAATTCAATTTAATTTTATAAATTGATTTTCGAAATTCTATTACTCAGAATAAGATTTTTTAAGTTTTGATTAAAATTAATTTTTATATATAATAAAAACCTAATAAATAAATAATAAGTCTACTTTTTTATTCAATTAAAAAAAAAAAAAAAAAAAGTATACTATTTACATGTATACATATACATGCGTTCATACATTTTCACACGTGAGCGGAAAGTAAGTATTTTAACAAACATTAGTTCAAAAGACAATTATAGAAAATAATGAATAATCTAAGCGAATTGTAATAAAATTATTATTGTGAATTATTAATTTATTAAGAAAAAAAAAATTAAATTTAGTAAAATAATAAAATTTTAATAAACGTTTTATAAAATATATAAAAGTTTGTTTACATAAATGTGCACTAGATAGAGTCACTTAATGCAGGATCCATAAATGTTTATGGCTCTATGAACATTTTAGGAATTGAAATAAAAATTTTTCTAGCTGCAATTCATTAGTAAGGTTTGTTTACAAAATAGTTTTTATAATTGCTTGTAGCGGTAGAAAATGATATTTATATTGTATTTAATAATTAATATGTAATTTATTATTCCAACGATTTGAAATGTATAATAGCATTATATTATATCTTTTCTCTGTCTCTCTCTCTCTCTCTCTCTGTTTCTGTCGAAAAAAAAAAAAGTGTGTTCATGTGTTTAATATAAACTTTTTGTGGTTATTCCTTTAAATTATCGGGTTTTTAATCCTAAAAATATTTTTAATTATATTTAAGTGTCGATATGATGACTCCGGTGAATTTTTCAAAGAGGTTATATTTTACCTGGCGGCCAATAACTTATTGTAATGGAGGCTTCATATCTTGTTTTTGTATATTATAAAGTGCAATTGATTTATTTAAAATACATATTTTTTTCGCCTTATTTAATTACGTAGAATTTTTTTGTAGAATTCATCATTGCAGATGCATTTAATAATGAAGTCGAACTTTGCAGTTTGTGAGATAATAATGCTGATTATTTGGAGGTAAGTAAAATTATACTCCATTTAAAATTATATATATTGTAATTTGAGATTTTTTAAAGCTTGTATTTAGTATGGCGTGATTATTTGATTTACATTTTTTTTTTTTTTTTTTTTTTAAATAATATTAAAATTACCCGTTTTTATAATTGTTTAATAAGCGATATTATTAAATTTTACGGTAGATATTACACATTACTTAAAAAAAAAAAAAAAAAAAAAATTTTTTTTTTTTTATTTTTGATAAAAAATTTTCATTTTTTTATAGCTCAATCATCTTGAATTCATGTGATGGACTTTAGGAAGTTACTCACATAATGGACATATTATAACAAATTTTATAAGTTTATTAACTTATTTAATCATTATTATTTATAATTATTTTTATTTAATATTTCTTATAAGAATAATTAATTCATTTTTTAAATGACAACGAATTGTGAGAAAAATTAATATTTTTTTATCTATTTAAAAATGTAATAATAATAAACGAGTGTGCATACTAGAAATTAAATGTATAAAAGGTAAATTGAATTTAGTTATTGCTTTATATATTAAATTAATTCAGATTAATAGGTATTTCAATTGGTAGTGTGGGTTCAAGTCTTTTTTTTTTTTTTTTCTCATTGTTTTTTTATTTTCACATAGTAAGGCGAAAAAAATGTTTTTTTTTAAATTAACAGGTTATCGTAGTTAGTTTTTTAAATCCCACAGATAGAGAATTATTATT